GTATATTCGTTTTGGAACTTTAAACTTAACACTAACATTTCTGTGTACAAAAATAGATAATAGTGTGTGTGTGTGTGTATAATATTTTCTGTATATAATGTGTGTATATATATATATATATATATATATATATATGTATTTAGTTTGTTATTTTGGATAAATACCCGTATACATTTTTATTATGTAGAGATGGTGCTGCTTTCACATTAACCCGGTATAATTTAAGAAATATTTGCAGTTAATGTGAGAGAGTTTAGTATTTCATGATGTTTAATATTCTGGAGGAGGGGCATGTCAGTGGTCCACTCCAGACCAGCAGACGGCAAAGATTGAGTTTTCTGTCGCTGGTCGACGAAACGTTTGAGGCGAGGGAGCAGTCCTTTGAAAAAAGCGTTTAATCGGTCACCTGAATGAACAGATATCTTCACCACTTTTCGGACATGTTTCTCGTGCCATACAGTAAGTAGCCAAATCGTTTTTTTTTAACGAATTCTCATATATCTTTAACTTATTTGAACTGCTTTGACATTTTCACCTACACCACACTCTGAATATTGTCTTCTGTGTTGCATCCTTCACAGTGAATGTGGAATTGTGCATTAACTTTTATCTTGCAGTAAGTCTCGTGCTGGCCTCCTTCCAAGTGTTATTTATTTATATATTTTAAATTAGATTTAACGTCTTTTCTGCTGCTTTGTTTTTCTCTTTCTTTAGTTTTTTCTGAACTTTTTTCTGAGTTAATTGTAGTCTTTTGTGTGGAAAGGCACGTCAGTAGTCTTCTTGTTAAGACCCTATCATGCGGTGTAAAGACAATTACAGGGTTTTGAATTTTTTTTCTTTGTGGCCATATTTTACCTTTTATGTTTCTTGACCTCAATATTTAATTGAATTACAGATGGGAAACGCAGTCATTTTTGCTGGTCTTGCATTCTATTCTTCATATATATATATATACATATACATTCATTAGTACAAAAATATGTTTTACAGATTTAGTTTAATGTGGCATGAATTTTTTTTTAGACAAGAAAAGAACTAGCAATTCACAAATTCACCCCTTGGATTCCTCACATGATCACACATCTGGTAGCTGACAGTCCTTGACCTTTTCTATTTCTTGACCATAAATAGATCCATTTTTTTCTTCTTCGATAACTTTTTCTGTACTTTTAGTGATGGTTGTGGAGAGGCCTGACTTTCTGTCAGTATTTATCATCTGGATTACAGGTCTGACTGCTGAGAGGGAATGAATGGATCCTCTATGCTGCAAATTTCTTTGTGTTGGCATAGCAGCAAATACAAGTCTTCTGCAGATCTGAACTAAGTTTTATTGTGTCTGCATTAACAATATGAACACTGACTGATGCAAACAGTGATTTGGGGCAGAGTTCGGTGTTTGAAACATCTACAGGACAGATGCCGAATTTCCATATTCAGATAATGTAATTAAATATGACTTACACCTTCAGTAATTCTAACACTTGTGTTCTTGTTCTCATTTCAGTCTGGTCTGCCTTGATCTTACCATGTGGTGAGTGAGTAACAAAATAGTTATATTGTAGCAGTTTCCCAATATTTTTCATACTATATAAACCCAAATGAATATGTAAAGTAATGTATGTGTATGCCTTTTAGCCTGGGCACAAAACAACATGCCAAGTGTGGTTGTGGAGGCGAGGAACATTACTGTTCCAGCCGGGTCAGATGTTCTTCTGCCGTGTAATAACCAGCGGATGGTTTGGAGGCAGGATCGCCTGCGGGACCGTCAGCGTGTCGTGCACTGGGACCTGATCCGGAACCAACCCGATTACACTGTGGAGCGCATTTTAGATATGTTCTCAGGGGGAACAGAGCGCTTGTACAGCGACTACAACAGGGGCCGAATTACTATTTCAAAGGACGCCTTCAGCGATGGAAATTTCTCACTAGTTATTAATAGTAAGTTAATCCTTTTAGACCATGTCCATGTCACTCTTTTGATTATTTTGTTTGTGATATTTAATACCTTCCATTCTGGTATTGCTGTTTTGTTTGCGCAGATGTGGACGTGAATGATAAAGGTATCTATACCTGCAACCTACATCACCACTATTGCAAGGTCCACCAGTCCATTCGAATCCAGCTCAACGTCACTAAATCACGTAAGAGAAGAAGCCTGACATCTATAGTTTATCTAGCCTTTTTCCACCTCAGAGTAAAAAATTAAGAAATAAAAAAAGTGATTGCGACTTTTTACAGATTTCAGTTGTATGGCAAGATCTGTCAAACGATTCTTCAAAAAAATTCTGCATCTATTCCTTTTTTTTTTTCTTTTTTCAATGCCAGATGGACTTCGAAAAAATTCGAAACAGTGAACATTTCTTTTTCCTAGCTTGTTTTAAACATGTATTTCTGTGTTTTCCTAATCAGTACCTTTACTCCTTTCTTTACATGTATATTTGTGTTTGGGGGAGGAATGTTGCCTGAGAACTATATATACTTCCTGCCTTTTTCTCTCTGTTTACTTTTCTGCTCCATCTTCTCCAGTCTGCAGTGGGAATTTTTCAGCAGTCTTTCCATCTCTCTCTTTGTTTTTCATTTTTGAGCTGTCTAAAATGCCTTTGTCTTTTACTCTTTGTTCAGATTGACTCCCTCCAGTCATTTTGGCTCTGTCATTGCCGTCTCTGTGTTACAAAACACTTGTAAAGATGAGTTTGTACGAGTGAATGTTTTCAACAGAAATGTAGTGAATAGGTCCTAAAGGAGGTGGGGGAGGTTTTATTGGAAGAGTGCTTCATATTTCCTCTGCTTAGCAATCGCTGAGCTCACAAAAGGTCACAACAACGTCTTGCTTTTTTCTGAGGTTTGCAGATTTTACCATCATTGCTCAGAAAATATTCCCCATTTTGCGTTGGTAATGGGCTGTTTTTTGATATGAAAAGTCACATCTGTACAACATCTGGCCTGCTGTAAAATGAAAGCGCAAAGCAGGAATGGTCCGTGTTAGATTCACATCTTCACATGTCTGTAAACATTTTGCCCCACTCCACTGTAAGTAGAAAAAAATGTGGCATGTCAGTCAGCTTATAGATTTAATGTATTGTCTGAATGTGACCTTCTTTTAATTTTTTTTAAATGGGAAGAAAAACTAGCAATTTTTATTTAAAAATATTTATAAATATATTTATTTTTAATTATTTATTAATTTTCCCGTTCTTTTTTATTTCACTCAACATTTGTGATATACCTGTAAATATTTATTTCAGAATTGTAAATGATATATTACAAATGTTTTTAAATTAAATATTGCTATTTTGTAAGGATGTTAAATAATGCAGTTATGTTAACATTTTGAAGCTACATCTGGAGGTTAATGCACATGCAACAGTTTAACTTGGATGAGTTGGAATCCGTGTTGTATCCCAATCCCACTTCTTCCCACTTTTGTTCTCTCCAGCTGTCCTATAAATAATGAACAAAAATGGCATTATAAATAATACACAAAAATGAAGTATGTGTTGTATTCCAATATATTTTGCATTGTTAAACGTAAAAAAACTCAGGATTACACAAATATGACCAGTCTAAGCATGTGTGACTCATTTGGTTCTTCATTGTTCATTGCAATGAGACATACTGACTCATGAAGTAATCATAATGACTGTTAGTTTTAGGATGAAGAAGTCATTTTTTTGTTACTATGCCAAGAACAAGGTTTACAATACTGTAAAACACACAAACAGCAGCATTTAGTGAGTTTGTTTGGTTCTTATAAGTACTACTGACATGCAATCCCTGAAAATATAGCAGATTAAATCTAAATTCTCCCTGTTATTATGGGGCACCTAAACAAGTGGAAAATTTCTCCAGACAGACTGACCATGAAGTGGTGGTATTTCTCTCCGCCTGCACTATCGCTTCCAGTTCTGGTGGTTTGTGTTTTTTTTCTCCATTGCTGTGGCATGACGTCAGGTCTGGAACTCATTACGCCTGTTTTGGCCATTCTGACATGAAACCTGGTCCCTCTCCCCTCTCGCCTGGCAGGCCTGGGTGAAATGGGAAAAACAAACTAGTAATTTGGGCTTTTCTGCTTTGTTTCTTGCCTTTCAGTACACCATAAAGTAATTAAATGTTTTATTCAATCAGATATTTAGGAGTTCTCATTCATCTGGTCTTCTCATGTTTTCTTTTTTCTACTTGGTGAGCAGATACAAACATGGTTGAAGCGCCTCGCATCCTCAATGTAATTTTGCCTGAGAATCAAACTCACCTCTTGCACCAAGTAGGCTACATCCTGGCAATCTTCCTGCTGCTTCTGTTAATGCTCATTGGCATCATTATAACCACGAGGCACTGCAGAAAAAAGGGTAGGATCATGTGGATTAGATAAAGTGATGATTTTATAAACGGGAAAAGAAATATGTTTGGCTTTTTAGTCAAACTGCATGTTGGTCAACTGAAACATTTACATATAAAATGAGTACCTTTGAGATTATTGCCTTGAATCTTACTGAACTTTCCTTTGACATTTCATATTATATCTGATTCAGGGCCTGAGTTTGAGGTTCGAAGGTCTGAGCGGTAAGGATTAAAGAGTTCCAGTTTTGTCATTTCTGCTTCACAGTATCTTATTCAGTGTTTTTGAGTCAAGTAAGATCCACAATAATCATTTTACACTTGCTAAAACATAAAAAGGATAATGTTAGCTTTACTTGGCAGGGGGAGGAGGACATCCATTGAGCTTGATGCCACAGAACTGCAACCCTACAATCAGGAGGACTTGCGACTGGGTAAGCGCAACCACATTTTTCCATGATTTCTCTGAAAGCTAAAATAGGTCATTTAAAAATCAAGACTTTATGAAAATAAAGAGAAAAGACAGATACTATAACTAGTGCTCTGTAAAGTGTAAAGAGGTGTGATTTGGTTTGCAAGAATCCGTGTTTTTTTTCTTTCAATATTCTCAAGTACAATGAATCCTGGATTACATTACATTACCACAGTCTTTTTTTAATTTTTAAATTGGTTAGTTGTTTTTTTGTAACAAAGGGATTTTCCAGTGAAATATATTTTTTTGAAATCTGAGTGTCTCTGAGTGTATTAATAGATGGTGATTTACAATAATTCTTCATGTTTTCATATTTATATCAGCATTTATTGAAGAAATCCTTACATTTTTATTTAGACTACAAGAACAACATAATAAAAGAGAGGGCAGCGGCAAACAACTATCCCTCTCCAGAAGTTATTGATCTAAACCGAGGTAATGTGGACTCAATTAGTGAAATTCGTTCTGGACAACGAGATGCATTGTGATGTATTTACACACTCTTGCTCTGTCTTCCTCTCTCTCACCTAAAGAAACGGAGAGAATGTCATGGAAGTGATTCGTAGCGAGCTGCTGGCTGGTCCAGAGCGTGCTGAATGAGAAGAGATTCAAAGACTTTACATTTACATTGAGAACAGGAATGGAATTACCGACTTTCTACAGCATAATTACTGCTTACATGATCTTATAATACTCAAATTCTGTTGATATTGGTGAGTCAATTTAATTGAAATCTTTTTTTCATAATCGTAGTGTACCATAATGGTAATCTATTGAATTCAAGTTACACATATGTAAAATGTGGGAGAGCAATTTGCTGAATTCAATTTGGTACTCTTCTGTATTAAAATTCTAAATTTAAACATTTCTGTTGAATTGCTAAAATTCTGTGGGGTAGAAACCACTGTAAATGTCTGAATCTGAATGGGAATTTCTTATAAAACTCAGGAAGCAAACAAATAGCTGTGGCTTCAGGTCTAAATAGTCAAACATGGTACACAAGGGAACGTCAAAGGCAATTAAAAGTACTGTTTCTGCTATTCTGATGTGTGTGTATCTATATGTTACTTTTTGTATACATTTTGAGTCCTATTGACCAGGACTTCTTTGGTTCATTGTCTTTTTACAGTGTTTGTTTTACAGCATTATGTGGTACAGTTACAGTTTATTTGCTTTTGCAATATGAGCAAGTCCCATTTATCTCTTTTCCATCATCAACATTTTTTTTCAGCAATTTCATTGGTCAGTGATGTTCATTTGCATAGGTTACTAAGCATTCATGCAGTAGTTTTTATTTGATCTGGAGTGTACATTTATATTTAGAGAGGCAATACATGATCATGTCAGTATAGACTAGAGCAGTGGTGGCGAACTCCGGTCCTGGAGAGCCGCAACCCTGCAGAGTTCAGCTCTAACCCTAATTAAAACTCACCTGCCTGTAGCTTCCTAATAACCGTTCAGACCTTGATTAGCTTGTTCAGGTGTGTTTGATTAGGGTTGAAGCAAAACTCTGCAGGGCTGCGGCTCGCCAGGACCGACGTTCGCCACCCCTGGACTAGAGGACCAATGTACAAATATAATAAAGTTTATTCTTAAATATTTTGTGTAATTAAGATTCATTCTTTCTCATGACATGAAAAAATACTAAATTCACAAAGCTTTTTATTTCTGGTTCTCAGGAGGCTATGTAAGACATTGTACCTCCATTATCTCCCTCTCTACTTGACCAGTGCCCAGTAACAAATGTTCAGATCCACTATGACCAGATTCTGATCGCAATGTCTTAACTGATATCATATGTCCCACAATGCAATATTTAAAACAAGCTAAGTTTTGAACATTTTGTAGTAAAACGTTTTGTTTTACCATAAGTTATGTAACTTTTATGTAAAATAAAAATACAAAATAATAATAATCTAGAAATCTAGTATTTGAATACACTATTGACTAAAATCTTTGCTTTTTCCTATAATTATGGAACACTACGCAGTATACTACATAACTGCATTAGGAAGTTCATTAAAGGGACAGTTCACCCAAAAATGAAAATTACCCCATGATTTACTCACCCTCAACCCATTCACTGCCATTATAAAACTGGGAAGAGCCAGGACATTTCTTTATATAATTGGATTTGTCTGAAAGAAGAAAGTCATATACACCTAAGATGCCTTGAGGGTGAGTAAATCATAGGACATTTTTCATTTTTGGGTGAACTATCTCTATAAGTCCATAAGGGCATCCAACGTCTCCAAGTTATTTACTGTTTAAATGTCAATCAGTGCATTCCAGAAGACAAGAAAATTGGTACTTTAAGAACAAACTGAGCAAAGAGGAAGAATGTTCTTTGCAAAAAGTTGTTTTGATGGACTAAATCCATGAGCCAGTGCCCAGTGGTATCCTTCAGAATACTAAACTCCAATGAGTTGAATACATACAGTAAGTTCACTTTAATTGTTGTGTAAAGTGAGGCAGAGTGTGAAATGTAGATTGTGAGCATTGAGTTTAGCTGGATTCTTTGATTCTAAATGACTCTGACTGGGACCTGGATCTTGCATTACTTTTGGTAGGCTTGTCTTGTTAGTGCTTTCTAAACAACCATCCGATACCTTCGGTCGGAAATACAGGAAGTATAGAGAAGAACAGTGCTGCCCCCTGCTGTTAGAAAAGATATGCTGTAATGATCCAAAATGTCTAACTGGTGCTCATGCTTGCACATCTTCAGAACGTTGTACCTTTGTGTATTTTGTTACACTTTGTGTCTGCTGTGCATCTTCTTTATATGGATATAATGTTGGTGGTGGTTGCAACAAGATGCATTAAACACGACAAAGGGGAATGACTACTAGCTCTAGTTACTTTGCCTCCCATTAAGCTATTGGTCACAGTTTTGCATACATGATACTGGATAATAGTGTTCATTATTTCAACTACTGTTTCCTGTATTATGTATGTGTGAAGACTTTTTTCTTTCTTTCTCCATTTAGGTCTGCTGCATTGCCACATTTATTAAAACTACATAACTTTACGAAATGTTTATAGTAGTTAAACATTTGATATTGTTTTCATTCATTTTATTGTCCATTTATGTTCTATTCAAATTCAGCATTAAAAACGTTTAGAATTTTGCAATATAGCAATAAAATTAATGTAAGAAGTTAATGTTATTCGTAAAAATGCACCTGAGATGATTTATTTTGGGAATGTACACAATTGTTGTAAATTTTGTAGAGGCTGATATGTTTCTCATTGGATTGTGAAACAAATCTAGCATTTATATTTTTCATTTAATTATTAGCCTATAATTGTTTATTATATTCATAAAGTCAAATGGAAAAAAAGCCTGATATATTGCCTATATATATATATATATATATATATATATATATAAAGAACATCAGAGAGATTAAACCGTTGCATAGTTCTGTATTTTTTCCATATATATATATCCCTGTCATGTTTGGTTATGAATTCTTGTTCGTGCAATTTACTTTGTAAATAAATCAATAGTCTTTTGGTGCCTCTAGTTCAAGACAAACGATTTTTGTGATACATCTATATGTAAATCTATAACAACGATGACAGCAGGTCTCTGTTTTGTCATCATAAAATCATATACTTAATTGTATAAACAATATATAAAGAGATATATAAAAAATATATATATATATATATATATATATATATATATATATATATATATATATATAAAGAACATCAGAGAGATTAAACCGTTGCATAGTTCTGTATTTTTTCCATATATATATATCCCTGTCATGTTTGGTTATGAATTCTTGTTCGTGCAATTTACTTTGTAAATAAATCAATAGTCTTTTGGTGCCTCTAGTTCAAGACAAACGATTTTTGTGATACATCTATATGTAAATCTATAACAACGATGACAGCAGGTCTCTGTTTTGTCATCATAAAATCATATACTTAATTGTATAAACAATATATAGACTACTATTTACTGTTTACACCCCCACCCTTTTCTTAGACCTTGTCTACACTGAAAACACGAAAGAAGAAAAAGCATTTCCGCAAAGGTTTATCTTGCAAGGACAAGTACAAGGTACAGTGTTTTACAGCTGTTGGCTTAGTAGAGCCACAGCAGTTCAGTCAAGTCTGTCGCTGACACTGTCTACCGCTAGAGGGCAGCCTATCTCTACGAGAAACCTGTAATGGTAAAATATCCTGAACTCCTGCTCATAGGGACGTGAACAGTCCCTTCCTGTTTTACTGGCGATCAGAGAGAAACATTGACGCCGCGATAGAGACGCGCAAGCTCCCATTATGTCTGGAACCGCTCGCTCCCTTCAAGACCAGGATTTTTGTTTGCCTACGTGAAACCGGCAACCAGCAATGTCGCCTTATAGCGCATAAATGGCACTTGACGAGTCATAGTCTACATATATATTTTGTATCGCGCTGCTACAACCCTTGCTCCTTCTTCTGTCAATGATTGTCCTACCCATATAAGCCTACTCATGGCGGAGACCAAAATCATATACCATATCGACGAAGAAGAAACCCCTTATTTAGTGAAACTGACGGTTTCTCCGGAGAAAGTCACGTTGGCGGATTTTAAAAATGTCCTCAACAACCGTCCGGTCAACAGTTATAAATTCTTTTTCAAATCTATGGATCAGGATTTCGGGTAAGTATTGAGAAATATGATTTTGCTCATATTGGAGTGTGGTTTAGTATTCAACAAGCACGATCACACCCATGATCGACTCAGCATTACGGCAGTCACGTGCCTTATTTACGCTGTCAAACCTGGAAAGCGTTTAGAACGTTTGGTTGTTCGGTGTAACGTTGCTACATTGTTACATTGTTGCTGCTGGCACCTGCTTTGAACCCGTGTTCTAAAGTCTGCGTTCTTGCGCGGGTGCGTGTGCTCGACTCAGAACCCACCATCACTGTGGCAAGCCGCTTTAACATTTACGTTTCGCTTCAAAGTGAAGAAGGAAGTATCAAAGTATTAGGATATCACTAATTATCCTAATTACTAGTAAACATGTATAAGTAAGTGATATAAATGTTAAATTTGTATCTTTTTGAATTCAGATTCACAATATAGCCACATTTGTTTTGCTTTGTTTATACGACTTGCATCCTAATAACGAATTCCCAACTCACAGGTGTTTCCCAAGGTGCACTTGAGGGCAGCGTTATTCCTTACTACCTAGCCTTTTCATTAAGTTACATTTTGTATATACTAAGTAATCCAGTATTGACTAGTATCTTTTCAATTTCAAGTTTCATTTTCACTAGTAATTGGATATTTATTGGACTAATGCTTGTTCCAGTAGTTACTAGCATTTATTTAATCAGTCTCTAGTGATTTTTCAGTACATACTGCTACTTATTCCTTTACTTACATTTTCCCCCAACAGTGACTTGTAGCTTAACTATTGAAACTGGCAACATATTGCAGCTTTTTTCTTTTTCTTTTCCCCCCCACAACAGTTCTAACAGTTACTGGTTTGTATTACTGTCTGAACCGCAGGTGACCATAGAAGTCAGTAACAAAAATATAATTATTATTTTTTTTACCAGTAACGATAGAAGTAATTTCAGTATTAAGACATTCACTATTAAGTGACTAGTAGCCAAAATAATGCCTACTAATATCTGAAGAGGTTCTCAAGTACTAGCGACTAATTGAATAGATTGAATTACACAATTGAAAAAATTAAATAAGTACTACTATCTAGATATTAGTGAAATTGAAAAAGATACTAGTCACTGTCTGATTACAATAATTACTAGTTACATAATTAGTGGTTAAACGGATCGTAGTTGATCCGTGATCCGTACGGACCAAGCCCCACGGTTTGGCACGCATGTGATCCGCGGATTAATTGCAAAATTTAACCATAATAGAGTATAAGTTTATCATTTGTTCGTATTTACCCAAGCAAGCAAATTTTAACAATTCCAGAGAGAAAAGGCGAAAGGGAGCTCGATTCGTTACTCGCGTGCACAGCCGCGCACACGCGCGTTTCAGACGGCGCGCGAACACCGAACTGAATCCTCTGAGCAGACACATACACATAAAATTATGACAAAATACCCATCTCGACAATCATTCAGGTAAACGCAGTCAGTTATGTCTCAAGTGAATGAAAACAGCTGAAAAAGAAATCGGATGTGATGTGTATCATTATATCGGATCCGTGCATCAGGTCTTAAAGGGACAGAGGCCTATAAATACTGCTGCTGTCATTAATGATCATCAAACAACAGAACAGCTGTGATAAAAAATCTATATTTAATTTATACAGTGAACACTATGCAGTGTTATTTTCCCTAATTATTAAATTTCTGTATTTCTGTATTTGAATACTACCAACCTTATTTTATTTGTAACATATTCTGTTGTATTTATCTATGCTTGTAATTTGTGTATTTGTTCTTATTTTTACTTTCTTACTTAATCTAGTAGTATTTGCTGTGGTATCAAAGAAGTACTTTGCTTTAAGTAATAAATGGTAAGCAAGTTAAATTGAAATATTTTTCTTTTCTTGCTGATCCGAAAAATTATCCGATCCGTAGGTCAAAAACCGTAATGTGATCCGAACCGTGAGATTTGTGATCCGTTGAACCACTAAATATAATAAATACTAGTTAGTTTTAATTAATAAATGTTAAATGGCTTGCCACAGCACCACATATGCACTGCAATAGAGCTAATTTAGTCAACTCCAGTGGCATGCTTCAGTTTTCCACATGGTGCAAATATATCATGGTTATATGATAAGTGTATTCTGTTGTAACTCCATTTCACAGTGCTCTGGTTTCCCTTGATTAAATAAATATAATAAATACTAGTTAGTTTTAATTAATAAATGTTAAATGGCTTGCCACAGCACCACATATGCACTGCAATAGAGCTAATTTAGTCAACTCCAGTGGCATGCTTCAGTTTTCCACATGGTGCAAATATATCATGGTTATATGATAAGTGTATTCTGTTGTAACTCCATTTCACAGTGCTCTGGTTTCCCTTGATTTGAAGCTTTTGAAGTTTAGGCCTGGCCTTCAGAGGCATCATACTAGAAAATCTGAACATGACATGACAAAGTCAGCCTGATTTTGAAATGTGACAGCACCTTTCATAACTCTAAAACAAACACACTTTCAATTTAGTTAAAATTAAGTTAAAATTTATTAGAATTACTACCATGTTAGACTGATGTGTCAGATACACTGACCGGTGTTGACCAGATAAAAGGAAGACATCAAACATAATCTTTAAATACAATGAACATCTCACAGGTCCTAATTTGTTCAGACAGCGAACTCATTTGTGTAGCAGAATTTCAGTCATTTTCTGTCACTTTAAAATGACCAATAGACTGAGGTTAGTTGAGGGGAAGTGAGAGACTGTGAACCATCAGCTGTCAGGCAGAGCTGTCACTTTCTAATTTGTCAGTGTCACCCAACATGAATGAATCAGTTGCCTAATATTTCCAAATGGCAAACAGGCTGTCAGGTAAAACTTCAGCTTTCTAGTTTTCTGTGATTGTCAAACATTGTCATTTTGAAATTGAGTCAAATTTGAGAAGTGTTCATAGTCATTCACAATAGGGTCATCTAGTGTTTTAAGTATGAATATTCTAACAATATTGAAGCTGTAGCACAATAATAAGTTTATTCTACAAGAAATTATGTTTTTAAACAGAAGCAGTGCCTGTTATACATATTACTTGCTGTTAAATGTAATTATAATAGCAATAAGAATAGCAGATCATACTTACAAGCTATTCATTTCTCAGTAGTTACTTAAGCAAATACCACATAATCAATTCAGGGTGGCATTGGATTTTTTTTTTTTATTATGGTTGCTGCTATCCATAATAGTACATTATAATATGCTGTCTTCTAACTGGGATTGTCAATTCTGGATGAGTTTCTTTTAAAGTATTTTCCTCAAAAGTCAATTGAACTGACTAAAGGCCTCTTCAGACCAAGAATGATAACTATAGCTATAACAATAACTATATTAGCATCCACACTTTCACACAATACCGTTCTTCTGTTGAGCTGTAATATCTGCTTATATCTAATGTCATTGGTGGATAAATAGATAAAGTTGATCTTGGTTTCCCGTGTTAACTTCTAAGGAGTCTCTGGATTATTTATGTTCAGAGATGACTGTCTCATTTGATCTGAAAAGACACACAAACAGGCACTGATGTTTAGTGACATGTCTAGGATGGAAATGCTCCTCTGCCGTACGAAATGTGGTTATTTCTCACAATTTCAATTTGAAGACATCTTTAATCCCACATAGCTAAGGCTATTAGCCTGCCATTCACCAGACCCTTTTAAACTCACATATGCACCACAACACATGTTGGTGTTCAAGCACGACCTTCCAAAAAAAACCTCAATTTCCTGTTAACATAGGAGAGTTTACTAACAGCATTGCTTTCCTGTTACACCTAGCACTGAGTGCACAGTTGGCCCTAGTGACCGTGAAGTAGATTGCTTGAACAAACAACGCTTGACCTTCAGTGCCAGACTGCTATGGTTTACTAGGTTTTCCTTGGCTACTTTGTTGTGCTAAAATGTGAAGTAGTAGCTTGGGCCTACATATAGGATACTTTGCGTTTGGGCTGTGCGATTTATTGAATCTTAGTTTCAATTTCGATTTTGGCTTTCAATGATTATGAAAAAGCAAAAATCAAGATAAAATGATTATTATTATTTCCTTTAAAGTGGTGCTTTCGTCCTTCCTTAAAAGCCCAAACTTAATTTGCAAACTTAAAGCGTTGTTTTTTAATTTGTGGTTTTTCTCCATTTTATTTGTTCTATTGTTGTTTATTTCCTTCTTCATTTTTTTAATTGTATTACTGACTATTTACACCAAAAAAGATTTTTAAAGGATTTATTTACTTATTTTTGATCAAAATAATCATGATTATGATTTTTGCCATAACCAAGCAGTCCTACTTTGAGGTTCAGTATGCTGGACTACCAAACTATGAGTCACAGCTTGGATCTGGACACATTTCAGAACCATAAATGCATCTCAGTGGGAGTTGATTTATTTTGTGTGCAGCTAAATGCGTTGAACATTATTTTTAGACAGCCTTGCATTGTTCATTCTTCAACCATTCATAAAGCAGGAAGAAATCCAACCAGCAGAAGTCTAGTGAGATCTCAAATGCACAAAAGTGGGCCTCTGTAATGTGGGTTAGTTAACGTTTACATTTACAGATCAGCGATGAGATGAACCTATGAACTCTGGGATGGTGTAGAGACACACTCCTTATTATCACATCATAACTAGCCCAACAGTGTCCAACATAAACATCGCTAATCCCACTATTACTGCCATAGATCCCCACTGTGTGCGTCCTCTGTAATAATAAACAACATTCTGCTGCTTCTGATAATATCTTCTGATATTATCCTCCACAATCTGGTAATACCCCTGTAAACCGGCTTTGAGGATAGACAGCAGCGGCAGACACCCAAACACCATCTCTCTGAGGGCTAATGCATGCCAGTTACCTCCATTTCACTGCTGCTGCTGCGTGTTATTGTTGGATAACATAATCGTAAATAAATCTGATGTGTTCAACAAGATATCAGTGGAGCGTATGAATAAAGACTGGGAGTAATGATCCAGATGGATTTAATTTGCTTTTAAGCAGCCTTTGTTCAGTACACGTTGCGTACAGAGCGCTTGTGTTTTAACAAATGGTTACGCTGTAATGGATTCCTCAGTGTCAGGCCAAGTTGATGTATTTTTTATCAGACCCCCATTGACTTCACAGAAAGACTTCAGTTGTGTTTAATTTTTAAAGTGCTGCTGTCGCGTGTTGTGTGGAGGGATGTGGTTAGTGTTTAACTGGAAGTGATATGGAAGTGGCACTGTTTTTAACAGCTTGTAGGTGAAATAATCTCATGGTCTCATTCACTGACTGATGATCAGGCATTAATTGGACTGAGCTGACCCTCGTCTCGGCCCTCATTGTATGTTATAGGATCATGCTAAGCTGTGCCGCAGCTCACAGATGGAATGATCCCACATCACAGGAAATCCCTGAAGTAGATGAATGATATCATGACCATGTGGTTGCTAGTCAGAAAAGCACTATAGGTTTCTGAATAAGGGCATGCATGGTTATATATTGATTTTCATCTGTTAGATCTCACTGGCAATGCCATCAGTGGTGCTTGCATCACTATTTACTCTTTTCACTAGGCATGGGCCGATTACCGGTTTCAAGGTATACCTCGATTTGAAAATTTCACGGTTTCAAAACCACTAACATTTTCCGTTATACCGTTGCTGCGGTATGCGCTGTTTTTTTAATGTCTCCTCAAAGACTCACTGAAAGTGTAGGAATCCCTCAGGTTGAGTGCAGTGTAGAGAGTAACCCTCCTCCTCCTGTTGGTACGAGCAGTCAGTCACGTTTGTGTATGATGGCCAAAGGAGCTTCCCCTGGAACTTACGCGATCGGCAACTGGATGTTTTTTGTTTTATTGCTGCTCGTCTCTGTTCTGGACTTGCAGAAACTGCGTTGCAATGCAATCATTTTCCAAAATGTAATTTATGTGACAATAAACGCCCATTAACACAGGCCAGAGACACTGAAGACAGACGCTAAGAGAAAAATACTGTAGCAGGCAGATCACTCACTGTTCATGATGCACAAACTATTGGAAGAAAATCTTAAATATTGATTTGGGGGTTTATATGAATGTTTCTGAAGGGAACTGACTGTCTTCAGAAAAGTTTAGATGGTATTTTTTTATAGTCAGAACATTCTGTTTTTGCATCAAATTGGGTTATTATTAAATCCAATTATGTATATGAATTATATAACTAAAATTAAATAACTAATTACAGATTTTAGGTTAAATAAAGATGTCAGCAGTAGCTCTAGCAGCAAATCAACCATCCACATCAAAAGCTGCAGGACAGCCCACAATTCAGCAAACATTTCAGAAACAAATCAAAGAAAAAATAAACAAATACTACTGTTCCAAATAATCTGTATGTTGCTCAGAAATAATAATAAAAAAAAAAGACATTTAAAATAGCACATTTTAGAGCTGTAACAACAATACCGTGATACCGTGAGACTGTGAAATTATTGCTTAAGGTTATCATACCGTCAAAATCTCATACCGGCCCATGCTTACTTTTCACTAACCTTACTTATTAATCTCGGACCGTTGGGGCTATTAATAGGAATTGTACCATAAATTATGTGACTTGCTGAGGAGAGGTGTGCTTTTTATTTTCTAAGCGATCTAACTTAAGATTTTTGCCTGTCGCATAATAAGTGTTATTTTAGGATTATTCATGTACTATAGTATTTCTTAGTATTTTTATATCTTCTTTTAGTAATTTTGTTAGATCATTTATTTGTCATTTTGATTAGCTTTTGCTTTTTTTATTTAATTGTTTATATTTATTTCAGTTTTAGTTACTTAAAAAAGTTTAGTTACTTAAAATTTTTTATTTCAGTTGCCAAGACGACATTTCTATTATTTTTAAGTTAGTTAATCTTTTAATATATATATTTTATTTCAGCTTTATTTCATTTAAATGAAAATATTTCTAATAGTTTTAACTGTAGTTAACAGTAACAGTTCTGGATTAAACTGATTCCTTAGACTTAGACATGAAAAGAGAAACCAGAATATTATAGACATTTGCTGGAGGTTTGACTTGGGCCAGTAAACAACCACCCAGAACACCCTAGCAACTGCATAGCAACATGCAAAAGACCACACAGAACATCTAAGTAACCCATAGCAACAATCTGGCAACCGTCCATAGCAGGCTAGCATCCTGATGGTGAGTTTTGCACAGGCTAGAACCATTCAGATCGTAAATGTTGTATTATCTAGACCTGTATGACTGACTTTCTTCTGCAGAACACAAAAGAAGATATTTAGAAGAATATTTCAGCTGTCCAATTTAAGTCAAATGCATCCAGAAAAACATTGGACCCCACTGACATACATTGCATGGACAGAAAACACTGCAGTATTTTCCAAAATATCTTCTTTTGTGTTACACAGAAGTTGAAATGGCATGAGGATGAGTAAATGACGACAAAACTTTCATCCGGTCTGGGGAACTATCCCTTTAGGAAAGCTTGTTAGCTAGTTTCAAGACATTTAAGCTTAAAGCTGATATTATTACCCAGAAGAACAGATTTCAACTCTGGTGTGTAACCAAAGGCGTTACCTTTCCTCAAGTTTGGACAAACATACTTCCTTATTGCCACCCCCACACTCCTCTGTGTATGTTGCTGTATATTGTAAAGACCTCTTGAAAGGACACAAACACTTCCTAACCATGACTAGAGTTACACCCCAGTTTCCTGTGCTGGGCTCAGGACGCTTGAACAGGCTGCAGAAACTCTCCTTGTTTTGTAACTCTTTCCATAAGACCATGTTATCATCCTTCAGTCCCGCTTAACTCTCCTCCTCGGTCTCACAGCCGTGTGGGTGATGTGACCTGGAAGTTCTGGAGGAGCAGAGAGGAAGACATTATAATTATGACAGGCTGCTGGAATTTCTCAAATCATTATGCTCTGTCAACACATTTTACCACTGCACAATATTGATTTTTATGTTGTGGTCAGAATATGATTACTGATATTACATCTATTCTTCATTTATTCATTTAGCAGATGCTTTAATCCAGCAGTTCATCTTAAAGAGACAACATAGACAACAAGTAACATAAGAAGTTAACAAAGGTTTAAAATAGTTAGAAATTGTTAAAAAAGTACAAACTAGTACATGACATAAACCAGAGAGGAGGATGCTGCATAGAGCTGTGCAGTCATGACATCAGTCTCTAGGCCAACCCATTTGTTCCCTCAGGAACTTCTAATGGGTTTTTAGAGTGGTTGTGTTCAATTTATGATTAAAATAAGATCCGTGGTTAACATTACTTGAAGACACTCTTCATGTCATAATCTACAACATGCACTCATACCTTAAATCTGAACTTTGAAACCTTTCTCAGATGTTTCTCCAATGAGACAATTGTTGACATATTTGTTGTTTAGTATTTGAAGAATTTGAGAAATGTTTGAATTCATGTTGATCCGTCACTTTTGATTGCAGGTGTTAAGCTTTTGGGATCTTTTTTGGGTTGGGAACAGAGGAAAAATTACCAGAACCAAATGTTTTTTTTAGTTTCATATACAGCACGACAAGTGTGGTCTGATTCCCGAACAAATGACTCTTTTTAATGTACCAAATATGTGTGTTTTTTTTGTTTTTATAAATCAAACAAAAACAGCACAACCAGTGTAGTGCAATTCTTGAACTAATGTCTCTTTAGGAGCCAGTTCTTTTTAGTGAATCAAACAAATACAGAGTATCTAGTGTAGTCTGACTCTTGAACAAATTAATCTAATAAACTGGTTGCAAATGCAGCACAGCCATTGTAGTCCTATTCTTGAACAAATTACTTGTATGATCTGGCTCTTTTTTTAGTGAATCAGTAGCTTTCAGTATGACCAGTGTAGATAGATTTCCAAACAAATGACTCTTATAACTGGTTCTTTTTAGTAATTAAAAAAATTACAGTGCACCCAGTGTATTCTGAATCCTAAACGAAAGAATCTTCTGAATTCTAGTGAATCAAAAACACACCGTAACCAGTGTAGTTCAATTTGTGATGACTCTTTAAGAGCCGGTTCTTATGAATGAATCAATGACAATTATGAATCCGTCAGAGAAGTTTAACACTCACTTACTGAAGAGCAAGTGGTTATATGTTGTACAAGTTAGCTTGTGAGAAATCACTGTAACTTTAGTGGTTGTTCATATGCGAATATGTTTTAATAGGTATATTTTATTAGGTCAATTACTGGATTGCAATTAGTGGAGCCTTAAAGGATTTTGCCAGTCTCGTGTGGTTTGTTTGTGTGTCTGGGACTAGGCCTGTGCACAGTGACAGGAGACCAGCAGGTGTGTGACTGCTGAACCTCGACTAGGAGGGTTAAAGTGTAACTGTGGTATTTATGTAGGGAATTTACAGCCTGGGATGGACACCCTGCTAACACACTCACTTACTCTATTAATAACCTCCTGTGCCCTGACACCCTTGCTGCACCTTTCACACATATACATATACGTTCAAGTGTGGGCACATTTATATGTACAGACCCTCAACATTCATAAACGCTCACACACTTAGAGAAACATTAGATCTACATTTATACTAAGCCACTGTATCAGTCCAGCAACAGCAGTTTTAGTAGGTAATCTGGAACGTGCATGAGGTACTAATGAGGCCCGTTGTAAAACTGAGTAGATTTTAACAGAGTAGTCGGTCAACAGGGGCGTTCAGCATTCTCATCGTGAGCAGCCAGCAGTTGCGAGCTAAGTGGAAAATTCCGCTGTTTGATCGTGACATGCTTTCAGTATGCCTCAGCTTTTGCAAATAGATGGAACACTGGTGTGCAATCCTGGGTGCTGGTCTCACAGACTCCCTAACAGTTTGTGTTCTTTCCCCGCAGGGTTGTCAAAGAAGAAATCTCTGATGATAACGCCAAGCTGCCCTGCTTCAACGGCAGAGTGGTGTCCTGGGTAAGTAAGACGGATGGTGCCCTCCTCTCTGTATTGGACAGATTGTGACGTTACGAAATATTAGTGTATCAATGCTGCTGGAAAAAAAACAGCTTAAAACAGGCTAAGTTATTTTTTATAAGTCTCTCAGGCCAGTCTGTTGGCTAGTTTTAGGGAAACCAACACAGAGAACAAATTCCTGAATGAATGATTCTTATGAGCTGGTTCTTTTTAGTGAATCAAACAAATACAATGAAACCAGTGAAGCCTGATTCCTGAACATGTGATTCTTGTGAACTAGTTCTTTTAAGTGAATAAACCAATAAAGCGCAACTAGTGCAGTCCGATTATTGAACGAATGTGTCTTATAAACTGATTCATTTTAGTGAATAAACCAATACAGCGTGACCAGTGTATTCTGATTCTTGAATCAGTGTCTCTTATGAACCAGCTCTTTTTAGTGAATCAAAAAAATAGATAAATACCAGCTTGGTTAGGCTGGGAGACCATCTTAAACCAGTTAAGACCAGAAGACCAGCATTCTTAATACAAACTATTGTATTGTTGTGTGTGTGTTCGTTTGGCCATTTACAGCTCGTTGTAGAATGTGTTTGAACTCAGATTGCAGGATGCCCGTGGGGGCTGGTTCTAATCTTCTTTGACGGCGAAGAACCATTTGGCAATTTAAAACCCCTATACAACGTAACATCTCTGACCAGAACTGTAATTTATATGCAAATGTCAAAAGGCTAAAAGGGTCTTTTAAGCCATAAACCGTCCAACGCTCATGCATGATCCTACGCAGGCGCTACATAAACAGTGCTTGTTGTTTATACAAATTATGTTTATACTTTGTAATATTTGATTAAAATGTTAAACTTGCTCTGCCTCTGAAACTTACCTTTTTGTGTGATGACACCAAAACCTTGTGATGCCGGCTCAACATTGTGATGTCTGTCAGCCATCGGTGATGGATGATGGCATCGTCTATCGGCCCAACCCTATTAAACATGCCACATTACAGAAGTAAACTGGATTGAAATCTGAATTAAACTCTTTATTTTATTTTTGTTTTTGACTTTATTTTTATGAGTAAACTTCATACAAATACAATATTTTAAATATTTACATTTGATAGTGGCAGCAAAAGCAAGGAATAATAATGAATCTGATAATTGCCTCTAAAATACACATCTACATTCCTACAAGCAGGTGTTATACCCATAGTGTTGTGTAGAGTTGATGTGAGGTGCAAAATACAGGTTAGTGGACTCCAGCGAGCCTCCAGCTGCAGAGAGCTGCACAGACATGCTGTGATACATGACATTGAGCTGTGCTGCACTAAAATATGTGCTTCACCGCCTGCTGTCCAAACACTGAGACCTTCAGTATATCATAACATGATCACTGCTTTAACACTTTACCACATCATAAGTAACCTTTTTTGTCTCTGATAGAATAAGGTGGAGTCGTTGGACCACTTATAGAAATATTTGCTATTCTATTGCATGAAATTTAACTGGACCAATCTGAATGGTCTTGTGTGATTTGAGCAAAGTATGCCTCAATACTGATACCATAATGGTCATATTTGATTGCTGATTTGAAATTGTCGCCCAGGGCCTTTATCAAGAAGCCTGCCAAGTGAACTGACTTGCTTTAAAGGGTCCATGTATCACTCTCTTGTCTGCTCAAACAAATACACTCTCTTCTCTTCCTTCCTTCTTCTACTTATTTATGCAGGGCTAGTAGTTAGTCTGGAGAGTTTCTTCCTGAAGCCTTTGTGGGTAATTCTATGTGTGTGTGTTTGGCTTTAGTTGGTGTTGGCTGAAGGCACACACTCGGATGGCGGATCTCAGTGCACAGAGAGCCACAAAGAGCTGCCACCACCCTTGGAGCGAACTGGAGGGATTGGAGATTCCAGACCCCCCTCTTTCCAGTGAGTAATGCCGTGCAAATAATTTGTCTGACATTTAATACTCACTTTTTAGGCCCGTAGTACACCATTAAGGTCTTATAAGGACACGTCCTGTTATAACCTGATGTACGACAAATAAAGATAATGAAATGTATAAATTTAGGTCAAAGGGTCAAGTTCTTCCTGTTGGTATTTTATATTTTATACGATCCTTTGAATATGCATGAGATGCATGTGCACATTTGAATCATTATACGTTTTCAAACATACACTACCGTTCAAAAGTGTGGGGTCAGTAAGGATGCATTAAATTGATCAAAAGAGACAGAAAAGACATTTACATTGTTTTGTTTCAAATAAATTCTGTTCTTTTGAACTTACTTTTCATCAAAAAGTCACTGACGACTGGAGTAATGGCTGTTGAAAATTCAGCTTTGCCATCACAGGAATATGTTACATTTTAAGCCATATTAAAATATAAAATGGTAATAATATTTCACAATATTACTTTTTAACTGTATTTGTGTTTGGTGATATAAATACAGCCTTTGTGAGCATAAGATACTTAATCTTAGTGAGCCCAAACTTTTGAATGGTAGTTTTTTAAGATATATATATACAGTATATATAATCTTAAAAAAACTACCATTCATATATATATATATATATATATACACAATCCCAAACACACCGCCCGGGCAACGAATGAGTGGCTTCGTAAGAAGCATTTCAAGGGACTGGAGTGGCCTAGCCAGTCTCCCGATCTCAACCCCATAGAAAATCTTTGGAGGGTGTTGAAAATCCGTGTTGCCCAGCGACAGCCCCACAACATTACTGCTCTAGAGGAGATCTGGATGGAGGAATGGGCCAAAATACCAGCAACAGTGTGTGACAACCTTGTGAAGACTTACAGAAAACGTTTGACCTCTGTCATTGCCAACAAAGGGTATATAACAAAGTATTGAGATGAAATTTTGTTATTGACCAAATACTTATTTTCCACCATAATTTGCAAATAAATTCTTTAAAAATCCTACAATGTGATTTCTGGATTTTTTTTTCTCATTTTGTCTCTCATAGTTGAGGTATACCTATGATGAAAATTACAGGCCTCTCTCATCTTTTTAAGTGGGAGAACTTGCACAATTGGTGGCTGACTAAATACTTTTTTCCCCACTGTGTATATATATATATATGTATATATTGATTGTTTAAAATGATAAATATTCACTGTATTTCCAGCCTTTTAATAGGTCTTTTTTTCTTCAATACAATCTCTGGACAGTTTAAAGGGGTCATATGATGTTGCTAAAAAGAACATTATTTGGTGTAATGAAATGTGTTTATGTGGTTTAAGGTTAAAAAAACACATTATTTTCCACATACTGTACATTATTGTTTCAACTCTATGCCCCGCCTTTCTGAAACGCGTCGATTTTTACAAAGTTCATCAGTCTGAAATGCGAGGTGTGCTCTGATAAGGCCGAATACCTCAAGCGTGTGACGGAAATGTTACGCTCTTTACCATATTGTGATACCGTGTCCCGGCTGGAGCAACGAGACAAAAACATTAAAACCCATTATAAACGAGGCATTTGTTGCATCCAGTCGGGACATAATTACGGATTATGATGATTTATACTGTCTTTTTTACGTGTTGCGTTGCATCGCGCCGCGTAAACATAAAACCATGTCTGCATTTGTGATCAGAGAAATTACAAACAAGGATCGCTACTCTACACTGCTCAAAACTCGCATTTGAATCATCAGTATTCTTTAAATATAAAAAACGTACTTACAGTCTGTGAGTCAGAACAGCCAGCACTGTAGTCTACTCTCCCAGGATCAGGAAACAGTCCTCCATAAAATGCGCTGCACACATCTGAATATTTGGGTTGAACTGTTCTAGAACAGTGTTGTAAATACAACTTAACCACTGATTTCTAGTCGTGTCCTCTTTTGGAAGGCCAAACAAAGTAGTTTTGCTTTTACAACAAAACACACAGCGTCTCACATGGCGGGCTTGAGTGAGCAGCGGCGGGTGGGCTCGAGAACGGCATGGCCGGTGGATTCGACTGTTGGGCTTGCGGCAACCACATGTGACGACCCCGGGCTGGACTCCGCTTCGCC